TTTTGTTTGGGAAACAGGTTTGGAAACTCAGATGTCCGAGTTTTCCACGTGTCCTTAAACGCACCGTGCATTCGTGGATCTTGGACTTTTGAGAGTGCGGAAAAACACTCTCAAAAATCCGTATGTGCATGGAAGGTGATTCGTGTGTGTTAGACGATCCACGCATGCGTAGGTAACAACGTGTACGAACTTTCTAAAGAACTGCACACAAAAAATCGTTTTTAAGCATTTGTAAAATGTGTTTTATGTGCAGTTTGTACAGCACGCATTTGTGATCCTCATGACACGCACACACAAATCGCTTGTTACAGACAAAATGTTAAAAACACGCATTTGTAACATTTTTGATAGTATTTTATCTCCATAGTGAAAAGATAATCTAACATCATAAGACAACTGGCTACCGCCGCCTACTATACGTAATCGAGGAAGTGTATACGGTATATATGATTTGTGGAGAACTGAGCGTTAGCGTAAGTACGTAAGTTTCCGTAGTGTAGTGGTTATCACGTTCGCCTCACACGCGAAAGGTCCCCGGTTCGAAACCGGGCGGAAACATGTTTTTCTCTATTAAAAACAACAATATCCGTTGAGCAACAAAGGTAGAACAGTGATGCTGCATGCTGCCTACAAATGACAAGTAGGCTTTTCCTTTCTGCATCTGTAATGTCAAACCTACAGTAAGTGCTAAACCTACTGAATATAATCGTGTTTCCATCATATTTATCAAAGAGAAACCTGTTTATTATCACGTTTTAAGCGCACAGATTAATACTATAAATTTACAAAACGCCCAGTAGTCATAAAGTTAGTAGGCTAGTGGGTGAAAAATTGGTGAACACATGCCAAAATGTCAAACGTGAAACTGAAAATTTTCATGCTGTTTTGATTTGTGCAAGCACATATCATTTCTTTCAGGTTACTCGGCTGTAAATTATTTGGTTGAGCTAATGTTTAAGCAATTAATAATAGCCTAATAAGCTTTTCACATGCAACTATCCACTAGAACTATTCCTAGGACTGAAAATGATAGCATACCTGAATGCCTGACCTGGATCCAGGGCAATAGGCAGGGTTGGTTGTGGTAAAATTGTATGGATATTTTGAGAGATGCAGCTGCAGCTGATCACAGTTAATTAACTGCAGTTATCCGTTAAGGTTCTTTGGCTTTTAAATCCAACCACATAAAGATATGAGAAAGTTATTCAACAAATATGAATTAACAAAGAAATTGATATATTCTGTTTCATTAATATTAATTTAATATGTTTAACAAAGTTGACAACAAGTTGTATTTCTCAGTGATAACAGTGTTTTTATTTGCAACTGTACATGTGACTCCTTCCTGAGAATACTGCTCACCTGTGGGGAGAGAGACCAGAGGAATGGAGAGAGAATAAGAGAGGAGCTGATGGGACGAGTAACTGATGGAGGAACGGTGTAAATGTGGGGATGAAAGAAGAAGAACAAAAGGGATAAATAACTTAAGTGGAGGGAGGTAGAAATATAGTGGAGGGAAAACAAGAAGACTGACAGAAGAGAAACATCAAATCATTTTGGACATGAACATTTTAAATCATAAATCTCACAAACAAGTCATGTCAAAGTAAGGGCCCCAAAGGTACTGTTAATGAAACCACTGTTGAGTGTTTCCTGAGTGTGTATGCGTCTGTCATTGGTTTTGAGGAGATTTTAACTAAACAAAGGGGTAGAACAAGCCAGAACTGAAGTCCAATTATGTTTCAATCCAGTTAGCTGTAAATGAACTCGCAACTGTAATTCAGAATTTGTTTACAAAAAGCATTTCAATATGAGAAAGAGGGTGTAACCAACATCTTGCACTGCATATTGTCGAGTAAACAATAATGAACAAATATGTCAGAGGAAGCCAAAACCTGATTGATGCAACAATACAGCAACAATATGCAAAGTAAGCAACAAAGTAGCCATCATGATTTTGAATTAAAAGAAAAATGACAAAAATCACAGTTGAGTTGCTGTTAAACTTCATCTGGGGTTTCTGAATTAAGCAATACCAGAATATTTTGAGTGAAATGTTCCTTTTTGTCAACTGCAGTTTATTTGATATGGTGCGACCTACTCTACATACACTGTAACTCAAGAACAACACTCCCGCCGCCTCTCACCCCTGCCCCTGCACTTTCCCCTGACCACCCCCACCTTTATTCACTACCAACTTGCGCCTCAAAAACATGTTAAAAATATAGATTTTTTCTAAACATTTACTGTGAAGTTAACTTAAAAGGTAGCCTGTGACATTTTCTATTTATTTTTTCATAAAAAGACATTTAGTTTGCTCTTCAAAAATCAGCTTTCATATTTCATTTTTATGCTGTGTCCTGATGCCTGAGATAGAGAAATCTATGGAGAGGAAGATGAAAAAAGATGACATTGTACTGTAAATCTAGAGTTTTTTTCTCATACAATTTTCAAGAGGAAGACTTAAAATCCAACAAGACACTGTAAAGGTCAAAGCTGAAAACAGTCATACTCATAATTATGAATAATGGTATAAAAGCACAGTTAAACAACAACATGAAATCATCTGCTCTGTCCTCCTCGTTCTGGCTCTTCAGTTCCAGTTGTTACATCCTGCATGTGTGGAGTGTATTAGTCATTTGTTTATGTGGCATATTTTGGTGCATCCATCCATCAAAATATCTCTGCAGTCCTTCAAATGAGCCTCTGTAATCTCTGCATGATCTTTCAAAAAATAAAAAGTAGTAATGGAGGATTTTAGACTATGTGATAGAAGAGATGAGTGATTCTCTGGATTAAAAAAAGCAAATACAGCAACTAAAGTACAAAACAACACAACATTGACCGAGGCATGGCTGCTACGAAAGAGAAGAGGAAACACTGAATGTTTGAGGGAGGAGAAGAAGGAGCTGATTGTTTCAGTCAGTCATGTCTGCTCTCCGTTATTTCAGTTTTCCATCCATCCATCCATCAATAATATCTATCTAAATGTACTCTGCTCTTTGTGATTGGCTAAGAGATACTGTACTCTCCATTGCCATAGCAAAGGAAACTCTGGGCAAAGCTCCCAATCGCCATAACTGGATCCTTGGCTAATGTGGGTGGCTGTGGGTGATCATCTTGAGTCGTGATTGGTCGATGACATCCAGCAAGTTCTTGGCGTCAACTGCGAGGGCGTGAGCTGCCATAAGCATTTGTTTCTTGTAGTCCTTTTGTAAACTGTCCGGGAGACAAGCAACAATTATGATGCAAGCATTTTTCTCAAAGTAAACCATAACTCATCAGTAAAATATATCCACATAGAGGGGATTTGTACCTACCTTGTCATGACATACTGTTGGGCCAGTTTCATCTTTGCTATTAACTCTGCCAGATCTGAATTCAACAACTTTTGGGCCATCTCAATCTGTTATAACAAACACACGGCAAACTCAGAACCACAATATTAACCCCTTATTCAGAAAGATGAGCATTTACCTTATGAGCCTTTCTGTTGAAGAAAACAAAAGAAAATGAAAATATAAACATTATGTTATGTATTCCTTAATACTTCATGAAAACAAATGTGATTTAAAGTTCCTGTTTTCACTTATTTGGTCAATTACACCTTGGCTGGTGACAGTGGTGGCATGTACAGACTAAGTTATTTGACCATCTGATTAGTTGTGTTGCACCTGTTTAAGTGGGAGAAGTTACATCTTTATCTTTGTTATGCCAGGTTAACAATGTTATCTGATAAGGTGGTCACTGTGCCACACCACACCATTACAGAGTTTTAATTTCTGGCCATGACTTGGACAAGGGATATGGCAGACTACACATACTATGTACCCGACAGATTGCAACCTGACTTTGTCCCTGGACATCGTGCGGTTGTTGTTTAACTATGACACACAATCTGAGTTGTGTTTTTTTTTTTTTGTATTTTCAATGTAAAATTTTAAGTAAGTATATGAGGGTGTTTACCTCTCTGTGTGTGCTGGCTGGCAGCACCGGAATCGTCTCATCCACTGTCGCTAGTAGAGTCCTCAGGGCCAGACCCACCTCCTATATTATTCACACACACAGCCCTTAGCATTTATCTTTTAACATGTGCTTTTAAACCTCTATTGATAGAACTTTGACTTATGTGTCAATACCACTGACATATATACAATGGACAAGGAATCACCACCATCAAAAATGAAGCCAAAATATTGTGAGTATAGCGACTGCCTTCTTGTTTTTTTTGCAACCAGAATCTGTGTAGTAGTGATCAGAAGTCATGTCACAGCAGCTGTCAAATCAACTGAAATACACCTTATTTTATCATCAAATAACTTATTAAAAACAAATTTACCAGAAAAGCGACCACTTGTACACACATTCACATGATAATATCTACCAAAAACCACAGAAGTCACCTCTGGGAACAATCTGTTTGAGTTTCAGTGTGGCTCATGTCCCATCCACTAACATTGAGGTGGGACTTATGACCTATATTCCAACCAGCCACCAGGGGGCGATCAAGTTTTGGTGGCTTCACTTCTGCAATCTGTTTGAGTTTCAGTGTGGCTCATGTCCCATCCACTAACATTGAGGTGGGACTTATGACCTATATTCCAACCAGCCACCAGGGGGCGATCAAGTTTTGGTGGCTTCACTTCTGGGAGCTCTTAGCCTGTCCATCATTTTCACAGTCGACAGTCAATACAATAAAATCCCAGAATACTAAAAGAACTACAGTAGTGTAGGATTCTGTCTGGCACGCCAAATTGGCCTTTTAGTTTCAGAGACTGAATACAAATCCTACCTTGACCATTGGGACGTACTCCTCTGGAACTGCAGGCTGAATCCTGTTGGACATCTCAATCACAGCTTTAACCAGTCCTGTCACATTCTCATAAACTTTGTCATTAGAACGATCCAAGTTGGCAGTGGGAGGCGGGCTGATCTCCTGAGGCTGCAGCTGAACCAGTGAGGAGAAAATAACCAATTAGAAACTGAAATAAGTTTTGTGTTTTAATTAAATCTTTTGTGAGGACTGTTTTAATTTCCTCTAAGAAATTCTATTATACATGGATTTATTTTTTTTAAAGTGAAATTGAAATTCCTAAAGAAAACACAGTCAACACAGGTGACTGTAGTGACACAGGCACAACGCTGGGAGGCAGTGTCTGATTACACAAAAACTAAAACCACAGTGAAAGATTACACACTCACTCACCTTCTCTCTCTCTCTATCTCACATACACACAGCTCACAGAGACCCGTGTTTGCACTACATGCATCTCTATCTACTGTACCTACTATTGTGACAGACAAATGTGTAGGTTGTTAGTGCAGAGTGACCTGTAACCAGTTAGTGATGGGAACTAATTTAACTTCCTCCTAAGGAAGACAGACACACAGTGATCAGTCTGCTACACTTCTACTGAACTCTGCTAGTACAATGATTTATTTTTCTTCACCAGAAATGTTTCTTGAACTTTCAGAAAAAATTATAATTATTATACAATCAATGTTAACATATGCCAAATATAACCAGTGGCTCAATACCAGAGGTACAGTTCCCATTATGTTAATGGGAACTGGTGGAATAATGCACAGTAAATGTTTTCTTCCTCTTTGTCATATTCTGTTGTGTCTCTGGTGAAGAAAAATAACTTGAGAAAAATGCAGAAAGAGCCAACTATGAACTAACTAACTGTACCGGTAACACACACAGATTAGCTTACCCTCCATGGCTACAGGGGAGGTGGAAGAGAAGGGAGCGCAGTGGAGACAGGTGGATGAAGGATGGGAAGAGAGTATGCATGAGAGGGGAAGTGTTTGATGAACAGGTTGGTAAATGTGTGAATGCACAGGGCAGAAAAGCAGGACATGGAATCAGAACAAGATAACAGGGTGTTAAAGGGAAACATAATGATAGAGGGGGAGTACAGGGGGAGAGAAGAGGGACAGCACATTAGGCCACAGCCAGCCACAGGCAAGACAGGACATGGCACAGCATGCACCCCATCAGTACAATGACAGTAAGTTTTCAAATCAAATCATTTAGATATCAGAAAGGAAATATCCAAACCACGTCTGCAGGGTTAACAGAACAAAATACAGACTTCCATAGGAGAAACAGGCCAACTAAGAGCACAAGGAAGAAAGTATGCTCACAAAAATCATCATTTTAAACATTCACTGTTAATAGACCTGATTTATCTGTCCCTTACATTTCTGCATATGTATATAAGAGTGCAAGGAAGAAAGTGTGCTCACAAAAATCATCATTTTTAAACATCCACTGTTAATAGACCTGATTTGTCTGTCCCTTACATTTCTGCATATGTATGTGTGCATATATACCTTGACCCCCTCATTGTAGCTGTCCACAGGGCAGAGGACGGCTAGGTTGCCCAGGTGACCAGGAGCTCCAGGACGAGGCGGCTTCTTTGGAGGTGCTACATGTTCTGGAGAAAAGGAGTATGCTACTATCATTGGTATGGAGGACTCTACCATGCCAACTAGGATACCTGCCAACAGGTACTTCATTCTGGTATGTAGTGGTGGAAAGTATGTGAGTAGGTAAAATTACTCAAGTACTATAATTGAGTACAATGTTGAGTACTTGTACTTTGAGTGTTTCCATACTTTAAACTTCTACTCCACTACACTTCAGAGTCAAATATTGTATATTAATATACAGCTATACTGTGGTTACTGCAGATTAACATACAAAACATGTTTATAGGAGATTAAATTACTGAACAGTGTGTTAAAATGAGCTGTACCTTGAGATACGGCAAATAAAATGATGCTTAAATGTTAAGATATCCATAATATTTCAATAATAAAATATGAAAGCCACAATATATAATATTTTTATATTAATAATGGTCTGAAAGGGGAACATCTGTATAATGAGCACTTGGCATTCAGGACTTCACTTAAGAGTATATTTACATTACAGTGAGTTATTACTGCTTTTCCTTCCCCATTCCTGACAGTATGTGATTTCTCACCTGGCTTCCCTACAGGCTGGTAGATATGTTGGCTTCCACCCTATGCAACGACAAAACACACCACAAGTTAATGCTACACTGCAGGCAGCTTTCATCAGATTATGTCAAACTTTAAAAACTCTTTAATCATAAAATAACTTTTAATAATCAGACATAAATTCCAAAGGAAATTCATGTTATACAAATTCACCAAAAAGTTAACAATTAACTGATTTGCCGTTCTGAATGTAAGAAACTGCAGCTGCAGTTACTGTGTCACTGTTCAGCTACAACTGAAGTACATATAGTGGAGAGATGATCATGGAAGTGCTGAGAATTTGCTTTAGGATGTTATAACCCTCATTTAAGATGGGACAGTGCAGTGCGTCTGGGTTTAAAGTTCCCATGAGTCCTTTGTGGTCATGTGGTTGGTGTGGAGGCAGCACCCTTCCTGACACACAAATACTTTCGCTCCTCCTCTAGTCTCTGTATTTATTCTCTGTCCATCTGTCAGACTGAATGCTGCTCTCTGCCTCCCTCTTCTTTTAGTCTTTTCTCTGCTACTTTTCCAATATGTCTCCCTGTTTTTCTATCTTTTAACCTCTCTTTCCTAGCATGGCCAGCATTTGTCCCAACTACACTTCACCTCTGTTTTACTTCAGCATTTCTCCTTTCATCAATATCTGGGTGTTTCCATGACTGAAAAGTCCATCAATCTTCCTCAGTCTTCCTCACAGTAACACAACAAAACCAACTCAGCAGTCAATCACAAGCAAAATATTCACACACAGGCAAGCAGTGACTGACCGGTGCTTGTAGTATGCCATCCTCTCTGTCGATGCTTCCTCTGCTGTTTCTGGACTCTGCTTTCTGCAGGAAAGAGACAGGAGACAGTTTTGATTCATGCAAAATGATATGCAAGTTGTTAAATTTTACCATCAACTCTGCTTACAAAAAGTCAGTAAGGAAGAAGAGCAGCAGAAAAACACAGCTCAGGTCTGTTCACACTATTACTAAACTTTGTTAAATGTCCATCCACATTTGCAACATAAAAACCAAACATGACTGCCCCCCCTCCCCAAAGTATCTGTTTCAGTACCGTTTTGGTGAAGCACACCTTGAAGAGATGCATCCTGGGAGAATAGTACCTGAAGAAGACGGGAGGAGCAACACAGAGAGTGGAGGCCATCGAAAGAAGAGCGGAGATAGGGACTGAATGTATAACAGGGACGGAAGCGAAGGAAAACTTAAGCCAGAGATAAAGGGAGAGTGAGAAAGCAGAAGAAGAAAGAGACCAGAGAAACTGGTAAAGAGAGAAAATTGAGAATGAAGACTGTTTGCCGAGAGTGAGAAAATGAACTGGGACAGACAGAAAAACTGAGTCAGGGAAGAATGGAGGGGGAGGTAAAGACAGAGGGAGAATGAGAGGAAAAGCTCCCAGAGACAAAGGTCTTGAGAGAAAAGATCCAACTGCCTCACTCTTCTCTCTTTCTCCCTCCCACTCTTT